CACCTTTGTTTTACCTCTTTTGGTTCTAAAACTTCTGCTATTTCTTTTATGTAGATGTTAAAACAGTTACGCAGGGCAAAAGAGAAAATGTATGAAAGCAAAACAAGTACAGAGAGTTTCAACTGTAGCAAGCAGAAATGGTTTTCAAAATTATTTATATTTTTCAAAGTATTATTGGCAAATTTCTTATCTCATCACGGTAATCCGTCTGTAAGTATTAAAGCGGCTTGACCGTCCTTGTAGTTTATCCATACAATTGTTTTTTGCTAATGTGCTTCTAGTATTTTCAAAGCCGATCCAGGATGATCTCTAAAAAGATGTACTTCTTTTTCAGGGTAGTATATTGCCACCATACAGCAGTGGAACTACGGCGACCCTTACTTGTAACATTGGTAGTACTCCGATCGGTGTCACCGTATCCACTTGCACAAACGGCGTATGGAATCCACCGATCTTAGGTCAATGTCCTTTGAATGGTTAGTAAGCAACAGCTGGTCAGGCAGCATATCTTTGATGTGGTTCGTAAACTGACCAGTATTTTACACTCTCTTAAATGCTTCTTTGTGACCACGTCCGATAAATTACCGTCTTTTCAAAGACAATGAATTCGAAAAACATCACACACAGGCTCCTTAGCTTTAAAAATTTTAAATTTTTTATTGCTTTGTATTGTCCTTACAGCTACTTTATGTGACAAAATAAATCCTTTCTGTTGTCATTTTTCAAGTAAAAAACATTTCTAACTGCCTTTGGTCAGCAGAATCACCGTTAGCCTAGTGTGGCATCTATAATTGTCTTCCGTCAGCAGAATGACCGCCAGCTAGCAAAATTCGCTGCACTATTACTGTATTCGCAGGCTTATTGTACCTCACAGAAAAAAGTACTGTCGATTTCTTGAAGAAAGAACGAAAATTTACCATATCTTTGTGAAAAAAAAAAACGTTGTTCTCTCTTTTTTTGTATTTTAAATTTCGCTGTTGATTGCTAAAACAAATCGAGTGTGACGTAAACACATACCGATTTGGCAGCACCTTGTTAGGGCGCATATACGAATCCTAACAGTCCGAGCGAAAGAAAATTGTGGTTCCAGACTATAAGTTACTATTTAAACTGCTCAGTACCTCCTGTTCTGTGGTGAAACTGAGCCACATGGTGTAAAAAAGAATTGCTCATGCTGAGGTAAGGAATTCTGCATGCTTCAAAATTCTGCTTCATTTCACCAGCGTTTGCGCTGTGGGTTCTGCACGCTGGGATATTCTGCAAGCACAGAATTAGCAAACAAACCGCTTCTTCACTGCACCGCATTAATTTTACTTAGCTAAATGCATATTTCCTTTTTTTTCAGCTATTCTATTTGGCACTTTAGTATGGAAAAGAAAGGCACGCCAAAACCTGAAGAGTGTGAATTT